CACCTTCCATCAACTCCTCCGGTAATATTTCCTCCTCCCAAATCATGGCAATTACCCAGTGCAGCGCTCTAGCCAGTGCTTCACCACCGTATTATAATAGCTCACTTGGTTGTTGATCTACACCAGTTGCTTTGTTGTTCTTCAGCCGACCGATCTCCTCCTCAACTTCTTGAAGATCAGTGGCCGGTAACCTGTCGTGTTCTGCGCGTGCTCCAAGGTCTGTTGCCGTGCCATATTCGTTTTTTGCAGAATCACCGTTGAGGTGCTCGTGATAGAACTGCTTCCACCCCTCAATTTTATGGAGTGACCATTTCACGGATGTTGTTGATCTTCCGGACGGTACATGTTTATGTCACGACCATAAATTCATTCCTATATCACAGTTCCTAATGTTTTTTTTAAACTGTGGAGCTCTAAGATCAATTTAATTGATAGACTTACCAGAGGATGGCCCCATGGTTATTTGGGTTCATGTTTATGTCATGATCCCAAATTCTTTCTTATATCACAGTTACACATGCTCCCGAATAAAAACCGTAGAACTCTAGGATCAGTTTCGAGGAATGTCCATTTATAAAGATGTTCTAGATCTTACGGAGGACGATACCATGGCTTCTAGGTACATGTTTATGTCAAAACCGCAAATTTATTTATGTATGGCAGTTGCAAGTGTTTTCGAAAAAAAACCGTGGAGTTCTAGGATCAATCTCCTGGATTAACCACTTTCACGGATGTTTCGGATCTTCCGGAGGACGGTCCGATGGACATCCTGATGTTTATGTCACAACCCCAAATTCTTTCAATCATCACAGTTCTTAATGTTTGAAAAAAAAAACGCCGAGCTCTAGGATCAGGATAGTGAATTTACCACTTTTACGGATGTTCCGGATCTTCCGCTGGACGGTACGATGGTCATGTGGGTCCATGACCCAAATTCATTCTTATATCACAGATCCTAATGCTAAAAACGCAGAGCTCTAGGATCAGTTTCTTGGATTGTCCACTTTTACGGATGTTCCGGATTTTTTGAGGACCGTTCCGTTGTCTCCAGGATCCATATTTATAGGAACCATGACTGTATTCTAGCTAATTGTGAACATTTGTGCCCATTAATCTTAATTACAGATCTTGCGCCACTTGCAAAACCGTACAAACACACCTTTAATAAAACGTGTGACAACTCTTTTCGCTTTTTAAAAAAGTATCAAAATCAATCAAAATCATCTACAAACCCTAGGAATTCTAAAGGTACCACAATTTTTGAAATTCATTAAGAAATGGCTAAGTTGTGACATTGCAAAGTTGCCGTGATACGTTTTTCGGAGGTTTCGTAGTCGGCGTAAAGTTTTTTACCCACCGTATTCGGAGTGTTGAAATCTGTCCACACGATAAGAGTTGAAAATTGAGCGTTTTACTAAAATTACTAAAACTTCATACCGGCTCTGCCAATTAAGTCCAAAACTACACCGATAATTCCACCATCAGCTAAGATGTCATAAAGCGGCACCGGTGCACAGTGGTTCCCCTTAGAACAAAAGTTGGCCAAAACCTCAAAATTGTTGCAAATAGGCAAAAAACAGTTGATATAGATGTTTTTTAGCTGTACGAAGAAAACTTGACAATCAAGACGTCACAAAAAGGAGTATCGTAGAACCAAAACCAATGCAAAATGGTCCCAAAACGTATTTAGGAAGACAAATATGTTTGCGCCCAAACCGTCAGTTTTAGGTATATGGTTTCTTACGGAAAGTTGCTTCATATTTTTGATCAATCTTTTTATGTTCTTAAAATTAGGGTGGTCCATAAAATTGGTGTATTAAAAATACAAACTTTTTTATTATTTGAGATAGACCAAAGCAGTAATCAAAAGAGTTGTAGAAAACTCAATTCAAAGCAACTTTTTTGAAGACACAACGTTTTTATCTCTTATGGTTCATGAGTTATGATTTTTTTAAACAAGCAGGATAGGGTGGCCACTTAAATCGGGTTGCTTTGAATATCTTTTCATGCGTTAATTTCTCGTAAAAACATTGTTCTGATCACATTTAGAACTTTTTTTGTTTGTTTTTTTCCTTCGGTTTGTTTTTTCCGTCGATCTTGTTTTCCGTGCTGAGCACCAATACTACCGACGTGCCAGGAAGGCAGCTCCCACACCTGGACCCTACCTATCGACCCATCAACTCATGAACCGGGGACCAACGGCTTTACTTCCCATCCGAAGGAAGGCGTGATCAGAGATGTTATGCCTCAGAACATCCCGGCGGTGCCGACTGGGATTGAACCCAGGCCTGCTGGGGTGAGAGGTTATCACGCTTACCACTACACCACCAGCGCCGTTATTTAGAACTTTTGATGACGCATATTTTTGTCAAGCAACTATGTTACTATCTTTTTTGATTAGAAAGTTAAAGGTTTTTTTTTCGAATAAGTGGCTCTTTTCAATTGTCTATATCTCAAAATGGTGCAAAGCGATTTTCAAACATTGGAAACATTTTTTTCTTAATTTTTGGTAAAAAACTGCAAGAGCTTTTTCTGTTTAAAGCATTTAATTTAATTTAAAAAAAAAGTAATATGTTTCAGCAAAAACAAGCCATAACTTTACAATTAAAAGAGATAGCAACTTAGCAAAAATATGCGTCATCAAAAGTTCTTAAAGTGTCTAGTATAAAAGTTCCACCAGAAATGAAGTTGTAAAAAGACATTTAAAGAATGCCGTTTGTCTAGGGGCCACCCTAACCTGCGTAGAGGTGATGCATATATTATATCACGCTGTAAGGGGAGGGGGGTATTGGGAATTCGGGCAGTGGTAACGGAATCGGATTAAGAGAAAACGGACAACGTATTTAATTAAACGAACAAGATTTTAATGAAACGTGTTTTCTTTGCTAGGTACAGGTCAAGAATGAAAAACTATTGTTTACTTCCGGTGTCTAATGACAGCTCATTGTCGAGGGGTTGCCCGATGGGGCTTGTGGTATAAGGGATAGGAAATTGACATTCCCAACAGGAGGGTTCTAAGATTTAGTGACAAGCAATGCATTAGGTATAGGAAAAACGTCACGATAGGGGGGAGGGGGTAATTTTTTGCTTGATTTAGCGTGACATAATTAATGCATGGGCCCTTATTTAAAAAAAATCATAACCCATTAGCCATAAGAGATAGTTATATCAACAATCAATACGAAACTAACGATATTAAATTGGCTCACCACTTTAGTAGCCTATTGGTCCCAAGCAAACGATTAACGTACCCTATTCTAGTTGAAATTCTATTACTACACTATGTTTGTTTTGATTCGCTATGAAAGTTTGACAGATAACATCAGGGGTGTATGGATTCATGCAGAACATGCAGGGGTGAGTGAAATAGCTTGGGACTGCTTGGGACCGTTGTTCTGGTACTGAGTGAGCCAAAAATAATAATGATTTTCTTCGGGACCCAGTGGTCTTAGAGTTACCTCTATGGTTATATCATAGAGGTAACTCTAAGACTAGAAGGTCCCGAAAAAACATGATCAACTTTTTGGCTCAGCTCTGGTACTCTCTTCGGTCCCAAGCTAATCGATTCACCCCTCGAAACATAGGAAAATCCACTAACCCCTCATTTTATCTGTCAAACTTTCATAGCGAATCAAAACAAACATTGTGTAGGACTAGAATTTCGACTCTAATGGGGTACGTTAATCGATTTGCTTGCGATCAATAGGCTAGTCAAGTAGTGAGCCAATTTAAAATCGTTAGTTTCGTATTGATTGTTGGTTATATGGTGCGTGTGTGTATGTGTGTGCGAGTTGGTGTGCTTTGAAAAAGGCATTGTGAAGCTTGCTATTAACAGTATACACCGCAGATTATATAACTTAGAACCGGATATTTTGCAAAGAACATTTTACTTGTTATTGCTAATTTCAACATCTTTTGCAAAAAATCGCAAAACACATTAAAGCCTGTCTAAAAGCTAACTTTTCTAGCTATCTTTTGGTTACTAAAGGATAGTGGGCGGATGTGTCCGTCATATGTTTTGCTTAGTCTAAATGTGAAAAAAGTATATTTTTTTGCTAATTTTTTATTAGAAAACGTTACTTAAAACCAGTGATGGAAAAGTTCGCAAAAAATCACTATGACAACCATTTGACGTGAAATTAGCCGAGTAACATTTCTTCTGAAGCAACCAAGTTGATAAACACATTTTTTTTTGCTATATTTGAGCAAAACAGTAGCAAAAAACATAACGATTTTTTTCAAAAAATTGTGATATCGCTACACTATAACAACCATAAAAAAATGTAATCAACAAAACTGCACAAATCATTCAATTTAAGATACCCTTAACATGTAAAAATCATAAAAAAATATTGAATTAACAAAAAATCAATTTTAATTTTTGAGGTTTTGGCCAGCCAGGAACCACTGTGCGGTGGTGTAGTGGTAAGCGTGATTACCACTCACCCCAGCAGGCCTGGGTTCAATCCCAGTCGGAGCCGCCGGGATGTTCTGAAGCATAACATCTCTGACGAGGTTCATGAGTTGATGGGTCAATAGGTAGGGACCAGATGTGGGAGCTGCCTCCCTGGCATCGGTAGCATTGGTGCTCAGCACGGAAAACAAGATTGGCGGAAAACAAATCAAGGAAAAATAAAAGATTCCATTAATCAAAGTGATGCAAAAATTGTGGAAGATTTGCCTTACCAAATTAAGAAAAACATTCCAATCATCATCTATTCTGGGACCGCCAAAAGTTATGAATGAATTCAGCAAAACAAGCCGAGCCTACTGTGGAAAACACCGAACTAAAGTAATCTCAACCAGTCGGGGTAAACATCCGTTTATTCACAAAGTTTTACTGCTGCAAAAACCACGAAATCACCCTGCATCGCATATCATACAAACCCCCAAAATGTAATCTCAAATTGTCCAAATATGGCCCCACCACTCCCCGCAAACCGGCCACCACCTAGCTATCTCCACCGACATATCTGCGGTATAAAAGGTCCACTGCAGAACTGCTGCTACTCCAATCAACGTGGAGCTGCTGTCTTGGCTTTCTGTCGTTTTTCTTTTCGAGAGCAGAGGACCAGCTCAACCCCGTAGGTGATCGTAGTTGACCGTGACCGTGAACGTGACTCCCGGAGTCACCTCCAATTAAAAGAAAGAGAAAGAGTAAAATAGCAAGATGAGAATCTGGACACTTGGATTACTACTGCTCTTTTGTGGAGCATCGACGCTGCAGGCTGCCACTGGTAGGATGATGGGTGAATTCGGGATTGTTCATTATACTTGTTTCGTCGCCTCTGGCTGTGTGTTTTCGTAGATTTAGTTGTAGATTAATCTGTCCTGAAGTAGATGCTTCTCAATGTCGTATGACTCGCGAGTTAGTGAAAGTTGTGATCAAGTGATGTAAAATATTCATGAGATAGTTTTTAGGAAAGTTCAAATCAATTCACGACTGATAGAAGAGTCATGAGTGATATCTTGCGTTTGCCTTTCAGATAAGGTGGTGTGCTATTTTGGCAGTTGGGCGACGTATCGTATAGCGAATGGCAAGTTCAACATTGAGGACATCAATCCGAACTTGTGCACCCATATTATCTACACCTTCGTGGGATTGGATGCAAGCAATAGCATGGTGAAGGTGCTGGATCCATGGGGTGACGTAACGCTACGTGAGTTATCTTGACATCTCTGACGAATTTGGTAAATGTCTAACCCAACCTTCCATTTTCCAACCTCAGAGGGATTCAAACGATTTGTCGGGCTGAAATCGCAGAATCCACAGGTAAAATTAATGATTGCTATCGGTGGATGGGGCGAGGGTTCATCTGCCTACTCGGCAATGGCATCGTCAGCAGTATCCCGCAAGGCATTCATCGAATCGGTCGTGACATTAATGAAAACGTACGGTTTCGAAGGATTCGACATTGATTGGGAATATCCAACACTGCGTGGAGGATGGCCTGAGGATCGGGTCAACTTCGTAACGCTGCTCAGTGAGATGAGAACGCGTTTCGACAAGGAAGGCTACTTGCTGTCGATTGCAGTTGCCGCGACGAAAGATTACCACCGGTCAGCTTACAACGTGCCCGAGATCAACAAATATGTGGATTTCTTGAATCTGATGTCGTACGACTTACACGCATATTGGGATGCGCAGACGGGACATAACGCGCCGCTGTATGCTGCCAGGTGGGAAACGGATTCCTTCACCAGTACGCTCAATGTGGTGAGTAGAGGTTGAATGGTGTAGTTTGTGCGATGATGGCAAATGTTGTTCGGTCGAATGGATTACTTTTAGGATTGGTTGACATCACGTTTATTTAACATGGGCGCTTTCTAGGTTTGTGCGGTTTTGGATGATTTTTAGTTGATTTTGAGCATCTTAAGGAGTTGTTAACAAACGACGTGGACAGTTGTTGCGAGACTTTAAGCAGCCTCCTCAGCCTACGTGGAAAATTTGTGCGGATCGTGGACATTTGTCAACCTTCCCACTGTCCATGTAGTTTGTGTGTGGCCCTTCAATAATAGATTATGAAATGATCGATACCAAGTTTGATGAAGATGGCGTCGGTGGTTGAGTGTGACTGCTTTCTGACTCCCCAGCCAAGAATGTTTGGATTTTTCTGAAGCGAAAAATTTCTGGTCACTTAAGTTACTGGAAGTAAATCCGTTGATCCATGCCCATGTGTTGATGGGATCGATAGTCTCCAGGTCTGTAAATCGGCTCCCTGGCACTCGATTACCGTTGGTCATTAAAGGGTGTCCACAGTTCAATTGCATCATTTAGAAGTACTCGCCAATAATAAGTCTCTCAACGGATTGTCATGAAATGTTCTGGCAATGGAATACTATATATATGCTTGGTTTGCGCAGCTGGGTTTACTTATCTTTAATTCACTCTATTTCTTCACCAAATCCAAATGCCAGAATTTTCTTCTTAATTCCACCCATAAGGTTTTGTACAACGGTTGAATCGACATTCAACCATGATTTCAACATTTCCTTCTCCATAGTGACAGCTTTAGGATGCTTACGGAATTCGTGCTTCACTATAGCCCAGTATCTTTCGATCGGTCGCAGCTCCGGTGTGTTTGGGGGATTGCGATCCTTTGGGACGAAATTGACCCTGTTCGTCTTGTACTACTCCAGAACGTCCTTGGAGTAGTGACAAGAGGCTAGATCCAGCCAAACAATTGTAGGAACGTTGTGTGATTTGAGAAACGGAAGCAGTCGTTTCTACAAGGAACTTATTCATGTAGACTTGGCCACTTACGATTGTAGTTGTTGTGAAAGGCTTGCTCCGTTTTACGCACGAATAAATCGCCTGAGGAACTCCGTCCAAGACTGAGTCCGTTTTTACGTATGTTTCATCGCTCATGATACAGCAGTGTGGATTTGTCAACATTTGTGTGTACAGCTTACTTGCCTGCATTTTAGCTGTCCTATTCTGTCGTTTTTTGCTCGTTTCTTGGCTGGTTGGATTTGCGTTTGAAGGCAGCAACCACTCGTTTGTGATCTTCAACGGAGTACGGAACACTATTTCTTGCATTCGCTTGATTCCGATCGACAGTTAAACGTTCCATGAATGGTTTGATGACACGAGGAACAGTAGTTTGTTGGATTCCCAACATCTTTCCGATGGCTTGGTGCGAAAGATGTTGGTTGTTGAGGTTAGTTTTCAAAATTTTCTCACGTACGCACTGTTCTTTCAACTCTATTTTCAAAACTACTACAAATTTCGCAATGAAACTCACGCAATGTAAAAAATACAGACTGGGGCGACATCACCCTAAATTTCATTAAAATTAACCCAAAGGGCAAACTGTTGTAACTGTGGACACCATTTAATCACCAATTGGTATTCTGAATTCTGAAGTTAATTGAAAATTTAGGAATCAGTCAACTGGCTGAGGAGATATGACCGGAAACAAGTTGGAATATTTCCAACCCATCATCTCAACCAACAAATGTAAAGGGCTCGGTAACACAACTTTGCTAGCTCAACAGTTGTAAAAAGTTTTTAGACTGGTCCTACCATGTTAATTAATACTTACTTAGACGAACACACATTTTCTTGCAGTCCATGGTCATCTGGGAGGAAGTTCGCTTTTAGTGCTTTCCTCAGGAACCTTTCGCGGCCACCATCTACCACCCTTCCAGTGTTGGGAGTATCCAGCGAGGCATCTCTCATATTGAGCCGTAACCGAGCACTTTTGTAAGTGGAAACTTGCTGATAAACGGCAACTTCAGCCACCGAATCACCACCAAAACTCGCGACGGGCACATTATCAGCACGTTCTCAGGCTAATTCACCAAACGGACCGGGCTCAAGCTTACCCACGGTGACGAATCTCTCGATATAACAGAACTACACGCCCTGAAGGAGGTTAGATTCAAGGTCAACCAAGTCACTCAAGGCAAACACAGGCAAAACACGATATATCACTAAATGATAACTTTTTGAACACTTGCAACTAAATTTCCGCATAAAAATTAACAATTTTAAAGCAAACAATGTTTAATTCGCTGACGAAAATTACGCAGCAAAAGAAAAACACGTCAGTTTTCAAGTGCGGGCTGCTGCGATCCCAGTCCCAGGTACCAGCTTCTGACTTGGTCCAAACCCATCATGCGACAATTTTAGTCAAACATAGTACCCTAGTTGGTTATTTTCGAGCATGTTCCGGATTTTCGTTTTCTGGCTTGCTCCCAAACCCATATGCGGCATATCAAATTGCATTAGCGGTTTTTGCGAAATCCGGTAAAGTGAAGCATGTCGTTTGGGTGAAATTCCCTGCTGAGCTGGCCTTGACATGCCGTCTGGTGTATGCGGTGTGTATATGGACGGGAAAAAGGAGATTCCCTCAGCGCTCCACTTCGTCAATTGGAAGGGAAACATGTTGTATAAGGGAAACAAAAACATGGCCCGGAAGCCAGAACAGGAACAACCGAAGAAAGGATAAAAACAAGACGTAGAATAACAACACCAGTTCTATGTCTAAAGTAAATTCCAAAGCCAAATAGACCCCCCTTCAAGCTTCTTCTAACCTGGCTTAGAAAATATACAAAAAATTACGGTACAAGCCTATCCGGCCTATCACCTAGATTATCTTTGGAATCTATTGAATTCAGTTTTCTCTGAAGTTCACTGGATCTATAGTTTAAATCCATTCGATCGAACTGACAATTGACAATTACTCATTTGAACCGCTGATCCATATCCATCCTAACCATTCTAACACTCATCGATAGGATGCCTGCGTTCGCGGTTGGCTTGACGATGGGTTCGATGCCAGCAAACTGATTATGGGTGTCCCGATTCACGGACACACCTTCACGCTGGCCTCCACGGCAGACACTGGAGTCGGTGTACGGACAATTGGCGGAGGAACCGCCGGTCCTTACACCCTGGAGTCAGGCACATTATCGTACTTGGAAATCTGCGAACGAATGAAGACTGGTTATACGAAACGCTGGGACGATATCCAGAAGGTTCCCTACGCTTTCTTGGGAAATCAATGGATCTCCTTCGACGACGTGACCTCAATTGGACTCAAGGTAGACTACGCGAAGAGCATGGGACTGGGAGGAGTGATGGTGTGGTCCCTCGAGTCGGATGATGATCGGAATGTGTGTGGTGAAGGAGCCTATCCAATCACCAGTAAAGTCTACAATGCCGTGTTTGGATCTACAGGGCCGATAATCACGACGACAACGACAAAGCCCGTGGTTACTACCACAACTACAGCCAAACCTGTGACGACTACAACCACAGCCAAGCCCGTGATTACTACCACAACCAAGCCAGTGATTACTACCACAACCACAACCAAGCCTGTGGCAACTACGACGCCAGCATCGGGTGCATTGGTTTGCAAGAGCGGATTTGCGAAGGATCCCTACGATTGCCAGTACTTCTATCAATGCAATCCGTCAGGGTAAGTTAACCTACAGCCTGGATTGTTTCATTCAATAAAGCTGTATTTTGGTCTACTTTCAGAGCTGCAATTGTCAGCTGGCGGTTCAAATGCCAAACGGGACTCTATTTCGACGACAAGAATGGGTACTGCAACTGGCAGTACCTAGTCAGTTGCCCTTAATTGTTTTAGCCTTAGCTCTTAGTATTGAAACAGCTCACTTTTGTCGCATTAAGACTCTACTGTAGATAAATGTATGATTGTACTCATAGAATAAAATTAGCACACTCATCCATCCAACCTTGTTTTAATCGAGATGCGACGTACTGCAAAATCATTTTACTAATCTACACGTTCTCCTTCCAACAGATAGGATGTTTTGCTTCTACAAAGCTGGAGCCAAATATCGCGTGGGCAATGGCCGTGTAGCGATTACTGATCTGAACCCTCAACTGTGCACTCACCTGGTCTACCAGTACGTGAGCCTAATGACCTACGGAGCCATTGAAACGCTCGATCTGGACACAACCGAACTTCAGCAGTTCATCAATCTAAGAACAAACGCTCCCTCGTTAAAGGTATTGGTCTCCATTGGCGGTCCATCGCAGGCTTCCAAAACTGTGTCATCTCTGTTGTCGATTGTATCCCTTCGGAAGGCAACCGTCACGGCAATCGTCAACTTCGCTAAACAGTACGATCTAGATGGAATCGACTTCCACTGGCAGTATCCCGTACTATGGGGTGGCAACGTAGTCGATAGGGCTAACTTTGTGACATTTATTTCGATGTTGAAAGACGAACTCAAGGTGACTGGAAAACTGTTGACCATTTCAGTCGCTCCCACGAAAGACTACTTCCTGTCGAGCTACAACGTTCCGGAGTTGAACAAGTACGTCGACTATGTAAATGTTATGGCATTCGATTTGCGAGCATACTGGGGTGCCCGGACGGGACACAATGCAGCAGTCTATCCGGCGACGTTTGAGACATCCGGTATCGAAAAGGAACTGAATGTGGTATGTTGTTGACTGCTAGTATGTCTGATCGGATGTATTGGATGAAACTGGATTTTGATTCCAGGACACTATTCTGAAGGGATGGATAACTGCGGGCTTGGCCAGCTCGAAAATCATCCTCGGAGTGACCACGGAGGGTCACAGTTTCAAGCTTGCTAATCCGAATGCTCACGGGATTCAGGACAGGACGCTTGGCTCGGGCACTAAGGGTACCTATACGGACGAAAACGGAGTGTTGAATTATCTGGAGGTTTGTGAACTGCTCAAAGCAGGAGGATGGACGACGGTGTGGGATGGCACTCAGAAGGCCCACTATGCGTACAAGGACAACGTGTGGGTATCCTATGAGAGTACCACTTCACTGGAAGCTAAAATCTATCTGGCTAAGCAATATCAGATCGGGGGAATCGGAGTTTGGGCTGCCGAAGGCGATGATGTAAGGAACATCTGCGGAGGAGGACCGTTTACCTTGCTTAGATTTGTCAGTGAAGGCCTGGAAATATCAAATGAGGAGGGTGTAACTACTCCTGGTGTGACAACAACAACAAAGACGACGACGACGACAACAGCAAAACCAACTACCACCACGACTCCACTGCCAACTGGACTCCCGCAAATTTGTCCCAGCAGTGGATTCGTCCGGGATCCGTACGATTGTTCCAAGTTCTATAGATGTACCAGTGCTGCCAAATTTACAGTTTTGGCTACCTATACCTGTGCTGAAGGATTGTTATTTGATGCTAAAATTAGCACTTGCAATTGGAAAGCTTTTGTTCAATGTTGAGTGTCATAACCAAATGGATCGGAATCGAAATTTCTAGAATATGAGCAATTAATCTAGTTTAAGTTTATGAGATTTATCTCTTTATAACGACAGTTGAAGTTCATTTCTGTAATTTTTAATAAATATGCCGGAATAAAAGATTTTATTTACGAAGCTCATCAAAGTCTTGCTCACTGTATCGCTTTTTTATCGTTTAAACACAAAATAGCTAATTTTGATCCGAATCCATCTGAATCAAGGCCAACGTGATTGCATTTTGACCCTTCAAAGCAATCCGCCCAGCTGTCAGACCCGATGCAAAATCAAGCATCCTAATGCATTAGGAAAGTGCAGAAAAGTTGTACAAAATGGTACAGAAATCTCGGTCCAAAGTTGCAAACTTTTGCAATTTCTCAGTCTGAACTTTTACTCTTTCAGTCGGTACTGCTTTATTTTCTCCGTACATGAGACAGCGATGCTGATGCTCTCGCGCTACACCCGGCGTTTGCACTTTGCTGTGTTTGCGTTTAATCAAAAAACTTTCCTGATAACAATAAATTTATATTAACTTATCCTATTTTTATAGGACTTCATTAGGAGTCGGCATCGCTGCTGCTGCTGCTGCTGCTATACACTTGTGCCATACTCGGTGAGGGTGGATGAGGTGAAAGTTTTTTTCTTTTTTGCGTTGTACCGATGCCTTTCTCTGTGTCAAGTTCCGAGAGTTTTTATTTCCTCAATGCCCGCCCCGTTCGGAATCGGAAGGTTTCCCGCGGAGACGATGGCCGGGGAAAAGTTTGACGGTGCTGCTGACTTCCACTCGATATAACTTTTTATGATTCATCTTATTCGGCACCGCCGGAAGGTGCAATTGATCCCATTACATCGGAAATCAAAATTTTATTGCTCCGGGTACAATGCTTGTAGGCTCTCAGATGAGGAGAAACTGATTGAACGCAGTGGTTGTTTGTGAGTAAATATATTCACCTGATTATGTTTGTATAATCAGAGGGAAGTCAATGCAGGTTTTACTGAACAGAGGAATTTGTATACACCATTTACAATAAATGTTGAATTTCTCAGACTCCAAAACCATCAAAACGTTTAAAGTCTGTAGATCGTTTCAATTCCAATTAACCTTCACCGCCAGGAATGCAGCAGCACTCACCGTTTCAAAGTTTAAGCTGCAGCCGGGGAAAAAAAATCCTCGCACCCGACACGGCATTGGTTTTTATGACAACGCAGGAAATTACAAGTCAAAGGAAATTTTTCCCTTCGCAGTCACCTTTCACTCGTAAAGAGAGTCGAACCAATTTCCAGACGTCGTCGTTGCCATCATCGTCATCGCAGGCGGAACCTGTCAAATGCAGCAGAGTAGAGCGTAGAACGTTTAGTCAATAGACGAAAAAACTAACTAACAAGGTTCTCTTTAGAGCCCGGCAGTCAGTGGTGCATGATGCGAATGAGGTGTAGAAAATGATATTTCAGGAAAGAGAAAAAAGTAAATCACACTCCCCTAAGCCTGCTTGGATAGTTAACTTCATATGCATAATTATTGAGTTGTTTGATCCGGTTACTGCACGGAGCGGAGTAAATTATACATTCAGACTCACAGTAGGCCATGGAAAAAAGTGATCAAAAAAGGAAAGGGTTAACAGGCTCCCTTGATGTGTTTGGATTTCCATTTTAGTGAACTACGAACTTTCATTCAAGATCAAAGCGGTCATTAGCAACCTGTTGCTAATTGGGGTCTTTAATTTATTAAACAAAATATCGGTCAGTTTACATCATCTGAAAGGGCTTCGTTTTCTCGATTTTTAAATCAAGATTTGAAGTAAAATAATCACTTCGATTTTTGACACACAACTTACAAATTGACAGCTCCATACAAAGTACCACCGAGGGGCACTAAGATGCTATTTTTGATAATGTAATCGCACTTATTCAAAATAGTTCCAGTGCTACAAATTTAAAGAATTTTTGGATTTCGGTTCCATTTGTAATGCAGATTACGAATATGGAATTACCTCAATACCCCTGAGAACCCAATAACTGGCATTAAGCTGCAATCTTGAGTTGCTGTTGACCGCGTCGATAACTCTGTTTAACACGACTTTCTAGCACAGAATGCTTCAACTTCCTTATGATTTTATGAGTTAATGTCTAGAATATACTTTTACCTTAACACGTCATGTTTTTAATGTACCATTCGTTTTATGAGTCTGTATCGCTCGTAGAATAATAAAAACCATGTGTTTCATTTGAAGGCACAAAAACAGCTTGTAAATAAATAAAATGACTGACATTGCCTGTTTGAAAGTTGTTTGTTACCACTGTCACCTAACATTTTATGAACAATCTGAAAAACGGGCTGAATACACTTTAGGAAGATAAAATTGGCGTCTATACTGATTCACTTCAGAAAAGTTTGAAATTACTTCGTAAAATACTGATTCACTTCAGAAATGTTTTACCGGCGGGTAACATTTTGTTTTCCATCATTAGAAAATAAATTTGTTAGTGTAGCTAACGGTCGATTTGAAGTGGGGGCGATCAACGCCCGACGGTGTGGATCGCGTGTGCCGTCTGATAGCAGTAGGTAGCTGATAGCGCTCTACGCCAACTACGATCGTGGGCGGATGGAGAGGATCGCAAACGACTGGCCGAAGCAGAACGGAGGAGAGAGATCCCGACTGAGCGACGGGATCAGTAAGTGGCGAGCCTCTGCTGAGGACGAATTAAATTGTTAGTTCAAACAGACGTTTTCGGGATCAAGACCCCCGTTTTTACCCACGTGGTTTGTGAAGTGTCCGGTATCAGTACGGCCGTCTAATCATCTCCGGGTCCGAGTTATCGGACCGAAAGTTATCCAGCAACTGTGCTTGTCGGGTCGTCACCAAAGCACCTAGCAAGGATTGCCCTCTCGTTGCCGTGAAAGCGTGGACTGTTAGTTCCAGCAGCAAGTCGACCATTGTGGCCGCCAACCACCGCTGTTACCAGGCCAAGCCGCCCACGTACCGACCAGGTACAGCGATCATCCCCGGTTCTACTTCCACGGATTGCCCGTTCGTCGGTCGCCCTCCCGCCGGCCTTCCACCGGCGCCATAGCGCGGTCTGCTAGTCCCTCGTCATACCATCGGACAACGTCGGCCTCTGCTGGCTCCGGGCGACCCCACAACCATGGTCACTCCGCTGGTCCGCTATCCATCGCAGTTGAGCGCTGGGTCCATAGCCACCACCATAGTCGCATCCTTCACTGCCACCAACGCTGCAAGAATCGATTTCCTTCCTGGCGACCGCCCGATCACCGTCTAGAGCGGCACTACCGCCCGTCATCCCGCCCGAGATCTAACCATCACCCGATTTCTGCACTGCCCCCACTGTCATCACTGGCCGAATAAAGCGTAAGGTAAAAGAATTCATATTTTTCTAGGTCTCCTCACATCCGAAAGGTCTCCCTCGCCCGAACGCCCTGAGACCCGGAACCTTTGTGGCTTTGTGTGCCCACCCTGGAAGCTACCGTCAGCTCTAGACCAGTAGCTTGGGATCTTGGCTGGTCTCCTTCTGGGACACAGCGGTTCCGGGGCCGAAAAGTGGTCTTATAAATGATCGGAAACACTTCAGAAATATTTTTCATCACTTTGGACAGTACTAGACTACTTAAGACACATTCGTAGACACTACGGAAAGTACTGAATCACTTCATAAAAAATCGAGATCGCATCTAAAAGAACTAAATCATCCCAGATATGTTCGGTGTCATTTCGATAAGTACTGATACACTTCGGGAAAGTTCTAAAGCACTTCGGAAAGTACTGACTAGTTTTGAAAAATTCGGAGTCACTTCGAAAATATTCAATGATTTGAGAAATGATTGGAATCACTTCTAAAAGAACTAAATAAATTAAGAAAAGCTCTGAGCCCGTTCGGAAGTAAGAATTACATTTGAAAAAAAAAATGGAATGACTTCAGAAATTTCTGAATCACTTCATAAAAATTCGAAATTCATTCTGAAAGCACTGAATCACTTCCAAAATGTTCGGAATCATTTCAGAATGTACTGAACCACTTCAGAAAAAATTGAAATCACTTATAAAGAACTAAATCATTCAAGATATGTTCGAAATGATCTCGGGAAATGCTGAAACTATTCAGAAATGTTCGGAAATACTTCAGAAAGTACTGAATCTCTTCAAAGAAATTCGGAATCACTGAACTGAATCATTTAGATATGTTCGGAATCACTTCTGAAAGTACTTTAACACTACTGAAATGTTCGGCATCTCTTGCAAAAGTATTGAACCATTTCAGAAAAGTTCTAAATCTCTTCAAAAGCACTGAATAACTTTTGAAAAAGCGGAATCACTTCGGCGATTCACTTCGAAAAAGTTAGGAATCACTTCTGAATTAATGAATCAATTCAGAAAGGTTTACCGTATGCGTGATAATGTTTGCACCATCGTACAAATAAGTTTCACCTCTGCATACAATGCCTTGGTTTTCTTTGCATGCACGTAACCTATAGCTCATACCGTAGTAGGCTGAAAAGAAAATGATTTACTTAGTTTGACAGTTGCACCATGACGAAGTGGTTGCGTATTCGTGATTTGTCCCACGCGCAAATGTCGCAAAAAGACATTTCAATCGCCGTGGGAGTGTCCCGGTGGACCGTCAAAAGGCTCTAAGGACAACTATCCGCGAAGGTGGCCATAGGTCATCCGAGGTCAGCTCGGGTTTCGAGGGTTATCGCTGCTATCAAAAGGAAAATTCGGGTGAATCCAGTGCGTTCAATAAGGAAAATGGCAAAGGAACACGGGATCAGTGACTTTACGGCACGGAAGATCGTAAAGGAAGATTGCGGGGCGAAGTCGAGGGCACAGAAAAAAAACTCACATGATTACCAACCGCATCCGGGAGCTACGAGTCGAACGATGCAAGAAAATCTTGAACTTCCTTAAGCGAAAAAATCCGGTAATCCTGTTCACCGACGAGAGCATGTTTACCGTCGATCCCGTATCAAATTCCAGAACCGACCGGTATATTAGTTCTCTTCCGGTAAAATACTTGGCTGACGAGCACAAGAACGTGTATCTGACCAAGCATCCTGCTATCGTTATGGTGTTTGGATTGGTGGTTTCCGATGGCAAAAAAATGGACTCGGTGTTCATTTCAGAAGGCGACAAGGTCAACACGGAGGTCTACATCGGGATTTTAAGTAAGTATGTTCTTCCGTGGATCAAAGAACAGTACGGTCCAAAGCCAAATGTTGTATGGGGCTCCGTGACACACCTCGAACCGCACTCAGAAGTGGCTGCAGGAAGTCTTCCGTTTTGGGCGAAAGATATGTGGTCGCCATCCAACCCCGATCTTAATCCGCTGGATTACTCAATATGGCGCGTCATGAAGGCCAAGTCACTTTTAAAAGTACTAAATCACTTCAGAAATATTCGGAACCATTTCGAAAAATATTGAATCACTTCAGAAAAGATCTACATCAGTTCAAAAAGTGCTAAATTCGTATTTATAATTTCAGAATCGCTACGGAAAAGAACTGAATCCCTTCGGAAAGTACTTAATGACTTTAGAAACGATCAGAATCACTTTTAAAAGTATTGAGTCACCTCAGCAATGTTTGAAATAACTTAAGAAAGTACTACATCACTTCATTAACATTCGAAATCACTTCTAAAAAAACTGAATCACTTCATAAATGTTCGGAATCACTTCAGAAAGGTTGTAAATAGTAAAGTTAATAGTGATAGTTAGTTATTCAAAATCACTTTCGAAAGTACTGAAACACGTCGGAAATGTTCTGAATCACTTTATAAAAAATCAGGAATCATATCCTTAAGGAACTGAATCATCCCATAAATATTCGGAGTCAATTCAAAAAGTACTCATTAAAGTTCTAAATCACTTGGGAAAGTACTGACTTACTATTAGATTTTTCGACTAGTACGTATGGAGATTTCTTTTTTATGGCTTTCTCAGTCTAGGGTTATCCAAACAGTGAGTTTTGCATTTCCCTGACTTACTTTCGAAAATTTTGAATCACTTAAAAAATTATCGAAAGGTACAAAACCACATCAGGCATGTTCGAAAACTCATCGAAGAGTACCAAATAACTTCGAAGAAATTTAAAATCACTTCTAAACGTACGAAATCACTTCAGAAATGTATGGAATCACTTCGGAAAATATGTAATCACTTCAGACAATTTGGAAACACTTCGAAAAGTGTTGAATCATTTTAAAATAATTTGAAATTACTTCGGAAAGTACTGATTCACTTCAGATAGTTAGGAATCACTTCGAAAAGTACTGAATTCCACAAGAAATGTTCGGAAACACTTCGGAAAATACTAAATTACTTCAAAAAAATTCGAAATCACTTCTAAAAGAACTAAATCACTTCAGAAATGTTCGGAATCCCTTCGAAAAATATTGAATCTCTTTAGAAAAGTTCTAATCTTCAGATAATACTGTATTACTTTTAAAAACTACAAGGGACAGCCCTATGGGATTGTACGCTATGGTGACGTAGGACTACGTGGTCTTATGAAATAAATGTTATTTTTTAACTGCAGCAGAAGCTTGTGCTTTGTGTAGGAATAGGAATTTGAGCGGGGTTCTCTCTGTTAATACTCTTTAGTATGACGCGCTTGGCATAGATGGCCCACAGCTACTATAGCACAGAGCTACTGATTCCGCTTAATAGCGGTGTGGCTTCATCCTCTTTCTATGGATGTTCATGTGGGCTGCAGCTCGCTGCTTGCAGGCAGCTTTTCGTTGTATACTGGAGAACAATGTTCAATATCACGTGCCGAAAGCACTGCTGCTGCTGCTGATGTCGACGACCGGACACTAACATACACTGTGATTGGAACTGAATCCGATCAGTGGTTGAGGCCAGCCTTGATAGCTAGCTGCTTGCGGGGAGCCTTTCTTTGTGTACCGGAGAACACCACCACTCACCACGCGGTGATTGAATAAACACCGTTTGGTGAGACCGGATGGAATTCAACGTTAAAATTGTTAGGGAAGGCTTTTCGAAGGTAATCGGCTATAATTTTAATTACTATAGCAACAGTTGCACATTCGTTCAATTTTCAATAGTGACATTTTGAAAAATGATAAAGTCTTAATTTTGGATCCCTAGATGCGTAGGAATATTTTTGATCGATTGGTGATAAATGTATTGAAAGTGGTCCAGGGGCGGCTGAGTTATTAACGTTCAAAATCTTTCAGAATTTTGTTACATGTTCCATTTTCGGTTTTCACAAAAAGTTCCCCCATATTGAAATCACAGACGTAGTCCTACGTCAAAAATTTGGAATCTCTACGGAAAGAACTGAATCACTTCATAAAAATTAGGAATCACTTCGGAAAGTACAGAATCACTTCAGAAACAATCGGAATCACCTCGAAAAGCACTGAAGCACTTAAGCAATGTTTTAAATAAGTTTTGAAAATGCTGAATCACTTCATAAAAATTCAAAATCACTTATAAAAGAACTAAATCACTTCAGAAATGTTCGTAATCACTTCGGGAAGTATTACATCACTTAAGAAAGGTTGTGAATATTGAAGTTCTAGATCACTTACCAAATATTCGGAGCCACTTTGGAAAGTACTGAATCCCATCGGAAATGCTCTTAATCACTTAGGAAAGTACTGAATCACTTTATGAAAATCCGAAATCATTTCTAAAAGAATTTAAATATCCCAGATATATTCGGAATCTATTCTTAAAGTACTGATTCATTTCACCCGTCGAAGTGGAACGCCGCGACCCAACATTGAGCTATTACGGGACGCCGGAGTTGCCCAGGATTACGCGCAGCAGCTGGAAGTTGCATTACCCACGGAAGAGCAGCTTGCCGCAGCTTCTCTTGAAGATGGCTGGAGGGACATCCGTTCAGCCATAGGTAGTACTGCTGCAGTGGCACTAGGTACTGTGATCCCGAACTGAAGAAATGACTGGTTTGACGCCGCATGCAAACTGTTAGTAAAGGAGAAGAATGCTGCACGGGCGAGATTGAATGTGGAGCGGTTTTCGGAAGGAAGAAGCGTCAGAAGAAAGACCGAGATCGCGAGGCGATGGAAAAT